TATATATATGCATATGCATATATATATATATATATATACATATACATATACATACATAACAAAAACAATTTTACATATATATATGTATATATATACATTTATATATATACATATATGTATACATATATATATATATATATATATATTTAAATACATACAAAGTTACATTTACATTTACATTTATATATATATAGATATAGATATATACAGAAACATATTCATACATAACATACCACTTTATAGATATAGCTATAGCTATAGCTATATATATATATAACCCACGAAGCCGGTAGCACGCTCATACAAAACAGTTAAACAACATACACTGTGCTTGTGGGTGTTTTCGCATGTGCTACATATGGTCAAAATATGTGTACATTTACAAACCTTCTTCGCCTTGTCGGTCTCCATATCCCACTCCACGCGTCGTTTCTTGAGCTCCCAGTTCTTGGGCAGCTTAGATATACGATCCTCCTCAACCACCTCCTTCTTGTTGAGTTTGGATGCTTCATTCTTGCGCATGCGCAGTTGGTGTAGCTTATTCAAGCGATCTTCTCGCGATACGACAGTTGGGGCTTTGGCTTTGGCTTTATCATTGTCACCTACCGGAACACTGACCTTGGGTTCATTGCTCACATTTTTCTCTACGTTCTTATCTACTGCTATCTTGGTTTCTTTAGGTGGTGTATCCGACTCCTTATCCGTGCTTACTACAACACCTGCGTCAATTTTATCAGCACCATAAGCGCCCTTTTCTGCCTCATTCGTAGTGGCAATGGGTTGTGTAGCTGTCGCTTTATCCATATTCACAGCGTCGCCCGTCTCTTCACCCTCAGTACTATCAGTGTCTTGTGGTACAGTTTTATTGTTGTCTTCCGCTTCCTGAGTGCTAATATCGGCGACAACTTCGTCTGGTTTGATGGTGGGCTTTGCTCTTGCGGCTTTCTTCTTTGTTCGAGCCATGATGCATACGTATCCTAGTCTCCCCAATAACTTCTATAGCTGTGACTGCTGTTTGTCGTGTATGTAACTCGGGTTTAAGCCGATGTATCTTGCTACTGGCTAGTTGGGTTGTGTGATGTATCTTACTGTTGCGTAGTTGCGTGTATTGTATTTAAACAATATCACAACCCACTGGTCCGCACCGAAAGCGAGCTTCTACTGTATAAAATAAATGGATGGGCATTTCACTTCATTACTTGTTGGATCTGGCCGGTGTGTGTGCTATTTTTAACGTCACACGCCCTCTGTTCGATTCTCGTTAAAACGGTTTCAAATCAATCCGTTTTGCGTTGAAGTTAAGCGTTTATACTTTCGAGTTGATCAAGACTTCAAAGAATGAAAAACAAAACAAAAATCGTTCAGTAAAAAACGTTTTTTCTTAATTCTCTTGGTTTATAGTATACATATTAGTACCATCGGGATTTCAACTGATATTTTACGTTTTAAAAAGCGTCTTCAATCACTGAAGGGTTGCGTTCAACGTTTACTGCACTGGTGCAAAACGACTTGACATCTGCCGGCAGTGGGCAGTGGGCGACTGTTTGTTCGAATTCATGCGTACGCTTGGGTTGGGCTTGGGAGTTTGGGTTGTTCTTTCCGAGACCTGTTGTGCTCAGCTGCTTACATAATCGTTCTGACTAAGTTCTTGTGTCGGTTACGAGAATGACTTACTACCAGAAGGAAGGGCTTGAAATTTTGACATACATAACAACTTTGTCGATACTATCGAACTGCCACAGGTTACACTGAATGCTTTTTATTTGTGAACACTGCCACTTTGTCGCAAATAATAAAATGTTCCTATGTATTTTTTCTTGAGTCTCTGCAAAACATGCGACATTCTTGTGGACGAATTTCACATCTTTCGCAGGCGACATCAATCTGAAGAGCCATACAATGAGTATATATATATATATATAGATATAAATATGTGATATCCAGCCGAAATTTTCTAATCGACTATACTCAACATAAGATTACCACAGCATCAATCACCACGGCTGGCGTTGCGACGGTAGAGACTTCAAAAAGATCCTGAAATACTTGCCCTCCCTCTTTGGCTTCATGTACAACTTCATGGCACCATACTGATCGACCACTTTGAAAAGCTCCTTCGCACCCGGCTCGTTCATCTCGATACTGCGAGTGAAGCTCTTGGTTTCGTCATACATCATCATCGGTCCCCCTTGCATCATGCAGATCTGTATCTTGACCAGAAATTCGCTGTCGCCGTGCACATTGTGAGGTATGGATCCCGTCTTATAGTGAGAGGCGACACCTGTGACAGTCAAGAACGTTGTTCCGTACTGCCCCTCTTGCTGGGAGTCTATCAGAACACTATCTGCATCACCTGCAGGGTTGCTTGATGTCGCGGAGGGTTGCCCACTATCTCCAGAAGACTTATTGCACACGTCCTTGTGTCCGGCCTTCCAATGAGCATGTTGGCACACGACCGAGCAGTACTGTACGCTCGAACACTTCGAACAACGCTTGGGACGCTTCTTACCACACATAACACACTTCAGCTTTGTTTTGGTGACAGCTTTGGTATCTACCATGTCTGGTGCGTATCGTACCGTGAAGTAACTGGCATACTGGTAAGACTCCGACGGTGCGGGTAATGTGTACTCTTTCCGAGTGGTCTGGTTCTCTTCCAGCACTTGCGCACACAGTTCTAGCTCAGACCTCTCCACTGTCATGGGCACCAGTCTGTTGTTTCTCGTGGCTTCACTGATAAGTGCAAACACTGCATCCAGATTTGAGCTACTTTTGGTATGCTGCGCGGAGCGATAAAAAGCAAAATATTTGAATCGGTACATCTCAACCAAGAATATATGTGCTAAAAAATATACGTGTATACTTTACAGAAACAAAATATGCCGATATGTATTCATATATATATATAATATATATATATATATGACTACATAGCTATATTCATATAAGTATGTCGATATATATACATATAAATAAACATTACAATATAAATAAATACATACAATCAATAGAAATGCACATACACACAGTTATACACATTATAAAATATATATATATCATACACATTTATATATATATATATATATATATATATATATGTGTGTGTAGACGTGTACACACACATACAACACATACACACACACACATATATATATATACATGTGCGTGTTTGTGTGTTGGCAGAAACACCTGTAAACATATGATTGCAAACTGAATGTTGGCGGTGGTGAACCCTGGCTTTACATCCCTCCTCACAATTAAAGCTCATTTTAATGTGATCGGACTGAGTGCGAGAGACCTTTGTCGAATATATATATATATATATATATATATATATATATATATATATATATATATATATATACACATATACATATATATATATACATATATATATACTTTCAAGCGAATACAAGGAAGAAAACCCCATCGAGTCAATTGCGGCTATAACTTTGCCAACCGACGACTGGTCGTAAGCGTCATGTCGATATATATAGATACAATCGCCATGTGTATATACAAATACAAACATATTCAAATAAGAGAAGCACGCACCTTGCCCCAATTCACTTGCAAGATGGGCTCCCCATTCTCACGCCGGCGCACGGCTACCACCTCAAACAGAATGCATTCCGCAACGTCGTCGTATTTCATCAGTACTAACATCGGACATCCATGCTCGTCGTACAGAGACGATAGACTATTAAGCATTTCCATGAGTTGCAAGTCAGCTGGTTTGGTTTGGCTGCATCAGGCATAAACTGTTGTTTCATATTCATCAACACTTCTCCGGGTGAAAATTGGTTGAATTCCTTCGATAGAGGCTCCGCAGAGTTCCACTGCGGGAGAGAAGTGAGGCGTGGCAAAGGCATGATAGCGAGTAACACTCTACGTCTCGCCAGGGGTGATGTATGCCTGCTACAAGTGTGATCTTTATATTTCCCCTGTACTAGAAAAGATCGATGTTCTCAGAGAGCGCCCGTCTTCTCTATCGAGAGAGGGACATGTAAAAATCTTTACTGATCCGCCGTCTGCGATTCTGCACACACGATGTCTTTTGAGGACAAAGCCCGCCCTGCTGAATATTTTTTTTAGGGTCCAGCTTTTTAAGAACCCAACACAATCTGTCCATCTCTGTACTTTTTCACTTTGTAAAAATATATGTATGAATATATTACACATCAGATGCTTTTTGTTTTATAAACACACACACAGATATACATAAGCACACACACACGCACATACACAAGAACACACACACAGACGTACAAAAGAACACACACACACGTACGTGT